CCTGCCTGGATGAAGACACCTGTAGCTCTTCCTACACTTTGCTACCCACAGAGGGTCTGCTGTAAGAAACATTTGGGTGTTGATGTCCAAAACATCACAGCATCCTCCTCTGTTCCACACAGCTGCATTAACAAAAGGAAGAAATCCATTCTTTTCAGCCATGTTAGACTTTAAACTGCATAATTCTAAAAGGTGTCTTGATGACGAAGCTATATGCCTCACAACTTGAGTCAGTCACTGCCAGTAATTCACATGGGATCTGTTTCGGGCAGACCTTCCCACCTCCACATTTCATGGGGCTTCTTTCTCTTCCTGAAACATCTGAGCTAGGCGTTCAGAGTGGGAGCTGTGGGCCTGGCCCAGGTGGGAGGTCACTGCAAGCAGCAGGTAAAACCCATAGTCCAGGCAGGACTCGGTGTAATAAGTAAGACCGGGACATTGTACACTAGAGTCTCCTCATTATAACTGCTTCTCAAACGAGCAAAAATAGATCCAGGGGATATCTCCTGTCCTGTCTTTCTGGCTGGGGTCACCCTGTCTGCTAACTAAAGGGCTCGAGTGTGTTGGTAGTGCTTTAAGCCTGGAGGTATGGGGGAAAATTGCAATCCGAAACACTCCATGGTACTGCTTCACATTTTGATGCGAATTGCCAAATTCTGGAGGGATTTGAGTAATAGGTCCTGCACCCAGGCCATCTTTAGGATTTTATCATTTTCTTTTGCTCTAGAAAGCCAGTCAAACAGCTGATTTAAATTGAAAGTCCGCAAAGGCAAACGACCAACGGAGATCTGATGACAATGTAAATAGCCAAAATCTCAATCTCTCTCCAATGTGATTGGGGCTGTTAGCAACAAATACATGAGAAATGACCCCTTGTCATTCTCAACATACTTTTTACTGTTGAAAATTACTGACAGTGGTGTAAGCAGGTTAGCTTTGCATGCCTCCTAATGCTCTTTATTGCCATCACTCTGATTTCTAATGGCTGTTTCCTAACCTTTGGATTCCCTGCAGCAGAGCAAGGAGAAGGGTATACAAATTAGGCATTAAAACCAATGAGCCACACAGGGCTTGCAGCCTGTTAATCAGTCTCCTTCAGCTTGCATAGAAGTCAAAACAGCATCCATGGTTTGAGGTCTATCTTCATTCTACACACCTTAAATCTATACTTTGCTTTCTTTCTCATACCCAAAGGACGGAAATCTCACTCGGATTGACTTGTTTGCCTTTGAGCAGATGGTGTAAAGTGTTGCCTGTGTGATCCCCCAAAGCAGTCACACAACATCCCAGCTTTGCTCAACAGAATCCCTCCCGCCTGGTGAAGCCTGTGCAGTGCAGAGATCAAAGCTAAATCTTCTCCTTCATGACTTTCCTGTTACGTTTTTTTTCTCTCTTCTACTTCGTTTTCCCCATAATCAGAGTCTTGACTCCTTTTTCTTCCATATTCAGGCTTGAGATCAAACAGGCCAGACATCTGCTTTGGTATTTTTTTAATCATTTTAATAATTCAATAATTTCTAGAGAAGAGGGAGAAGAGGGAAATGAAAATAATGACAAAGCCAGAAAAATTACACCATTTCTTTAATTCAGGCACAGTCGGGAGTGCCTGTTCTTCCCTCTTCTTTTTTTAATCTTGAGGAAATCATCATGGTGATTGTAGCTGATGCACATTGGCAAAGCATTTAAGCAGACAAGTGCCTGAAAGCATGAATCTCATCTATTTTCTTCTTTTAGGAAGTATGTTATAGTGATTAAGGCTTTTTCATCTGAAAATGCAAAAACCTGTTGCAAACACCTCATCCCTGTAAGGCAGGTAGAGCTTGTGTGCTGGCTGGGCAAAGGGAGGTGGAGAGTTTGGGCAGTTTTCCCAGTGGGACACAGGGAATAACCAAAAAAAACAACAAAACAAAACAACAAACCAGTCTTCTCTTCAAAGATGGATGATATTTTCCATTAAAAATCCAGCAATTTCTCTCAACTGCACCTTGTCAGGAGACGAATTGCTGCCAGCACCCAAGGCACTCAGCAGAGGCATGATCTCATGCCAGGTTCACCCTCTACCTCTGAATTTTGAGAGGATCTGACCCCGATATTTGAAGTCCCTCCAGTTTTAATGAGTCACAGGCTGGGCTTATGGGAGGAAAAGCATGGCCAGGGGGTGCAGGGGTGACAACCCCCACTCTAGGGAAGGAAGCAATGCTGGTGGCTTTATTCACAGGTCGCCTGTGTGTTACGGGATATCTTCAGCTTGCCACAAGGTCTCATTTTTCATTCAATGTGACACTATTCATGCTCTAAAAGTTACAGGCAACTTTGTTTTATGTGTCGGCACCAGGTCGAAAGATTATGTGCAAACTCATCCACGCTGCTTATTTCCAGAGAGAAGGCACTCATCCTTGCCAGCCATCTCTAGGAAGAGGTCTTTTTGTGAAGAACAATGGAAGATGAGAGTTTAGGATGTCATTCTACTTCCCTTATTTAAGTACACACTAGATGTTTTCTGATTGTAGAGAGGTCGCTTGAATGTACACAGTACATACCATCACCTTACTTTTCATTTTGTAGTGTAAAAGTTAAAAAGCTCAAAGCAGAAATGTTGATACCAACACAGTATCCAAATGTGGTGTATAACCCTCCTATCTGCATGCCATCGCTCAGAACAAATGCATTAATGTATTTTGTGTTTCATGGTTATGAGCTGCCCTGAGGATAATCAAATCAGAATCAAATGCACCTGCAGAAGATAAGGTTGCTGATACTGTTTCCCACCCTTTCTCACTCCGGCTGCTAGTTTCACTGCAATCATATTTATTACTCTCTCCTAGTTTCGTTGCTATTTCTTTAAAGATTGCTTTTCCATATGGATAGATTAAGCATGAGGCTTTTTTAAGCTGTATGCTTTGCAGAAATGAGGCTCGATGACAAAGCTGGCAGTCATATATGTGATCCAGTGAGTGAGAAATAGCAAGGAGAAGTGGATTGCAGTCTCTCAAAGGGAGGGGAATTCCTTGGAGCACAATCTATTGAAGTACCCCTGTCTCCACCTCGCCTGCCCTTTAATCAAGCGATCATATCAGCCCCTCGCTTCTTTCAATGGGGGAAAATTTGCAGACAAATTCCTGCCAGCGGGACGTTGGAGCTCTCCTGGGTGGTGGGATAAAGATACTTGTCACCTCTGTCCAGTCCTGCCGCCGGCTCACGCTGGGAGCGTGGCTGGGGAGCCCCATGCTGGATGCAGGGCCGGTCTTTTCCAAATTCCCATCAGAAAGTGAAATAAGACCCAGCTCCCCAAAGGCTCAGCAGACCCATTGACCAAGGCAAACAACTGTGTAAGTGGTCCCATATGCTGTAGGTACATTAGTGGGACATAAATTGTGCTTTGTGCTCGCAGTGGTAGTGGCTTGCTCCTGCTGTGGAATTACCCTCTCCTTTTATTTATTGGAGGTGCAGCTACTCTTCCCAAGAGATGTGAGAATGGCGCTGCAGCTCTGAAAACAGGATCTTCCCCAGATGATTAGCCAGGAGAAATATTTGAAGTGATGGAAACACAACAGCGTTTCAGGCAGTGAGCACTGCTGTCATGGGGTACCTGCCAGGCAGCAGTTCTCTTCTCCGGTCTTTGTCCCTCTACCACTCCCCCATCACCAAATGAAGATCGTATGGGCTAGGATAAACAAAGAGCCTGTTCATACGAGGGAAGTTTTGGGGGCAGAAAGGACTGAAAGCCTCAAGATACGGCAAGGCTTAATGCCGTAAATCTGATTAATTTACCTTGTGACAATCGCAACAAAAAAGCAAGGGCTGGGAGCCGGGGCTGCGGCTGACCTTTCGCTTGCACTGAAAGGCAGCACAATAGGAACTGGGGCTGGTCAGGGGAATGACCCTGCCTTTCACTGCTACCTGCTGCTTCCGACAATGCAATCAGACACAGCTTTCGGGGTGATGAAAAACACCTTCCTGCCAAAGGCCCCTTTTTCTCCCTGCCCTGGACAGGGCCAGCCTGAGGGTGTTTGGCTTTGGCAGAGCTGGCTCTGCTCAGTACATAAACGGTCATCACTCACTAACGTTAATATCCAGAAGGCAAAACTCCCTGGGGAACTTCAGGGTCAGACCCTGCATGGCCACGTGTATGGCAATGCAGGAGGTGCGGGGAAACTCTGGGCTGAACCTTTGAGGGCTGTTGTCCTGCTGCTGCATGGTGCAGAGCCAAACCCCAGTCCGTGAGGTGGGATGACCCTATGTGCATAGGAGTTTGCTGTACCAGAGAATGCCCTGGCCACAGGTGAAGGCAGCAGCTGTAGCAAAGTGTTTTTTTGTGCATCCCTTGGAGAGCATCTTCCTTCCTTCACACTGCCCGATGAGCACAGGATTTATTCCTCTCTTGACCCTTACTAACCGTGCCCTAAAGCACACAAGGAGGACATGCATTACTTTCAGTAGCAGCAACACATCCTGGTGGGAACATCTGGCCTGGAGGCATCCCAGAAAAGGAAACAGGCTTAAGTTTTGCTCAGCAGAAGTGTATTTATCTCAGAAATTAACCTCTGTGGTCAATACTTGTTTTCCAGGCTTGTCTTTGTTTCCAGCACCTATTTTACCCTGAGCAGCAGCCGCTCCCACCAGATACAACTTTTTGCTTGGTTAAAGTGGGACCTGAGAGACCTGCTGGTGGGAGACTGAAGCTGTACATGTGCTCCTTCACCCAGGATCATCTTGGCCCTGCTCCCTGTCAGGAAAGGGAGATGGAGTAGCCTTGCACCCCTTCACATTTCAAGCTTTTTTTACACTGCAATGGTTTGGCTTAAGTTGTTTTCAGAGTCTCTATCACAAGGAGATTTTGGGGGATTTCACAGTTTATTTTAGATCTATCATCTTAAAAACAATAATGAAAACTTTAAAATGAGTGAAAAAACCCTTCTAAATGAAAAAGACCTTCTAAATCTTAATTGGACCATATACCAGTCAGGCAAAACCTGTTCTCTGCCTTTAAATGCATTAAAAATAAACAGTTAATAAAGGTGTTTTGACTGGAACATCTTCTGCAATTTTTGGTTGTGGAGGCTTAATTACAGACTAGACTATCAAACTTTCAGAAGGTTTGGGAACAGAGACTGATTGGCGTCACCAGGCTATTTGGAATAAAATCCCAGCCCTTATCTCCAAAATGCAGCGTCCAATTGATTTTCTCTGGACCATTACACACCACACACTGCCGCAAAGCCCAGAAGGGGAGTGGTAGAGCATCACACTTCTCAACGTCCTTTTGTGGGCTCTTTGGGAGACACAGATTCTCCTCTTAAGAACTGAAGAATGGATGATGAAACTATTATGGTAAAGGCTCAGCTGTTTTCCAAACTCGGGCTGTACCCAGAGAGGCCTTGCTACCCCAGGACTGGGTTTGCAAAGCACAAAGCCACATGTGGTAGGCCTGGGTGATTAAAAACGCCAACTGCTGCTCATACAAATTGAACATTTCCATACAGATTGCTGAATTCCACTTATAACAGCATTATCAGCCTGCAAAACTGGGAAGAGCTTCAGTCAGTGAGCAGAGCTGGAAGAGATGGGCATACATGTGGTGCAATTTGCTTAACAGGAAAATACTTTAAGGTTAAGGAGAGCTCTTCACACCAAAGCTGTAGCTCGTTATCTACCAGGTCCCAGGCAGATTGGATTTGCCAATCAAATGATTTTTAATCAAATTGCCAACACCAGCCCTATTTGCCCTCTTCCCATGCAGCCTAGGGCTTTACTGCCCTGGGAAAGCAGGCTTTGACATTCCAGCCAGCCATGATCATCCTTTGCTGCTGAAGCTCAGGCTTCCTATATGGGTTTCCTGGCATCTGTGTTTGGTCAATGAGTTGTTCCCCTCTTTTTCCAGTCTTCTGATGGGATCAGGCTGGGGTGCAGCCTCCTCAGAAACAGGTTTGTTCAGACCTGGGTAAAGCCCAAGCTGGGAGGGGTGGTTGGCAGAGGGGACCCACTCGCTTGGAGCCCTCCCAGCACACTTTTTTCTGCAGCCCCTAATCCTTCCCCATGTGCTTGTTGCCTTTATGGTCTTCCACCTACTTCAGGTTTGGGGAAAGCAATTTTCCCTTGTGCCTCCATTGATTTACTAGCTCCAGAGTCTGGCTGTTGCTCTGGGAAATTGGCAGCAATGACATATTTGGGCTGAATTTCGTTGTGTTCATTAGGAAAAGTCAGCAAACAGAGTTGAGTGCCATGTCAAGTATTGCCTTTGACTTTCTATTGCAGCCATTTGGGGTCTGTTTTGTCCTTGGACTGAGAAAGCCTCTGTTCTGGTTGAGTCTTTGTCTGAGATGTTGGAGGTTAGTCTGAGGAGAGCTGTCTGAGAGACCCTGTTAATCCCTTTTTACCTTCTGAACAAAAAAGTCAAGTGTTTTTTATAATAATAATAATTTGAGCTAATAAGTAACATGCTGGCTGGAGCAGCAGCTGCCTGGGGTGGAGCAGATTTGTTTTCTCCATCTAATTAGAAAGCCTTAGCTAATGTCACACGTCTTCACTTGAAGATTTTCTGGAGAGGTCCGGACTCTCACAGCTAAATCGGTGCTGGCTCAGGGTCCAGGCAATAATGCTGTCTTTCACCAGAGCTAAGCCCCCTCCCTCCATTTCTACCATTCAAACCCTGCTCTGCCCTTGCTGCTGAGCATTTTTAGGCGAACTTAAGGCTCTGGTGTGGCTCCAAGGCAGGACACCCACCCGTGAACCAGCCAGGGATGGTTTCCAAGGGTAGGTTCCTCTTTCTGTGGGTAGAAATGTTTGTTTTATTATGCATCTAATTCCTCCAAGCTGCGTTTCTGCCTCATCAAAATACATTAGCTAACTAAATCGTTGTCAGTGAGGAAGGTCTCACTTCTTTTCAGGAATAACAATTCTTTAAGTCTGTGGGAAGATTAAAAGTGTGGTACTAAGTAAAAAATCATACAGCTGGGGAAGGCAAATGCCTGTAACTGTGTTCATTAGCCATATTGTATATCATCTAAATGAAAGGAAGTTTAAAGTCTTAATGACTTCCTTCTCACCAATGTACACTGTTAGGTGCCAGCTGAGGCAATGAAGAAAGACTAACCTGTTTTACCTCTGCCCTGCTTTGATGGCTGTTTTGCAAACACTTAAAGACAGTGTTCAAACTCCTATAAAATTGATTTTTGGTGGAAGCTGAAGAGAAAAAAGCCAATATTTTCTATTGAGTGACTTCTACAATAAGATTAACTTCACAAGACCTCAACTTTGGCCCTAGCTGGCCTTGACAATGCCTCCCTTTTAAGAAGGTGATGCAGCTATCTATAATTAGCCATGGCTAGTTAATAACTCATCTGTTAATGTCCAGGCCCACAAATGGAAGGTTTCAGTGTACAAGGAACCAAGGTTAGGCCAACAAGGATAAAGTCATGTCTATTTCAGTTTAATGGAATTCCATTTCCATTGTTGCTACATTTTATTTGGGCAGTCAGATGGATAGCTGGGCTTTGGGACTGCTTTCAGAAGGGTTATGGTTTCCTGCAGCTTGGGCTCCCTCCACGAGCCTCTCTGGCCATAATGCCATTGCAGTAGATGGTAAGAGATGGTAAGATTCTGCACTCTCTAAGCTTGACTTCCAAATTGTTCAGTTTTGTCAGTGGTGACTTGTTTAAATATCACATTGTTGCTTTTAGTATCCCCTGAAATAATAGGAATGAATGGAGCAGAGGTATCCAGCACTGAGTAAGGGTACTGCCCTGAATCCCTGTGTGGGTCCTCACCCTCCACTGCAGCTCAGAGGAAAGGGCCCCTTAGTTTACATTCCCACTGTTGTAGGTGGGGGCCCTGCAAGGACAGAAGCCAGGCTTTTAAACATAGTCCTTAACACTCTTTTGAAGAGACACTGTGGCCCTGGTTATTACTTACTGCCTTTCAAATCAAAGATAAAACCAAGGTCCTGGTGCTAGTACATCTTGGGAAGATACTCAATCTTTGTTTAAAAATACCCCCAGAGCTTTGAGGCATTTGGCACAGAACAGCTGAACTTCAATTGGCTTTGAATAATTACAATTATCAAGCAACTCGCCTCATTCGTGATGAAAACTATCACATAAGCAAGCCAGTGCTGTCAAATACAATTCCTACTGGTGCTAGCACGGGTTCTAGCTAGCAGTGAGAATTGGCAAGGGCTCTTGTCTTGGTAAAGACTGTGATATTTATTTGCATGACAATCGTTAAATACCAGAAGTGTGCATTTTTCCATTTTAAAAACAAAAAGAGAACTCGCATGTAAAATCACAACAAAACTGTCCCCTTCCCTGAAACTTTTTGTTTCAACATTCTCTTGAAAATTTCCCACCTGGCTTTAGCTATGGGAAAGAATTTTCTCCTTAATGTTGTTTTGGCCAGGAAAAAAATAAAATAATCTTTGTTTGCATGACTAGGTCTCAGTCATGAAAAACTGACCCCAAAAAATGCAGCCGAGAGTTTCCTCTGACTGTAGAGACTCAAAACGGGGATGTTATTTGAGAAGATGTATGCTTGAGTGGAGTGGGGACTGGAGGGGTTTGAGGAAGGAGAAACTCCTTGGAAGCTCCTTGTTTCTCACTGAGTGTTTTGTTTAGTGCAGAGTACTTGAACCAAGTGAGGCGCCGAAGGCCAGGACCATGTCACATAAGGCAGCATGTGCAAGCCTGCCCTTGCAACACTGCCTACAGGGAGCTCTGGAAAACAAAACCTTTCCCAGGCCACACATCTCTGGATGGGTGGGAGCTACTCCTTCCCCAGTGCTTCCAGTGGGAGCTGAGGCCATGTCAGGACAGGCAGTTCTGAGTCCTCTGCGGGGACCAAGCTGCATGTCATCCTACATCCCCAATGTCCAGCCTGTCTGTGAGTCATACAGGCACTTATCAAGGTTGTGCATGATTCCTCGGTATTCTCCAAACCTCTTAGGCTTATAAGGCCAGACAGGAAATCTTGTAGAAATGGTTTTTCCTGTCTGAATCTCAGCCAGGCCTGTTTTGAGGGCTACCCGGAAATAGCTGGGAGACAATCTTGGGAGAAGAAATTCCCACAGTTTGAGCCCTTGATAGGGACTGGAAGCCGATCAAAGATTAAATCTGGTTTTCTCAAATCTTAGGATGTCCTGGGATATGTAAGAGATTTGAGTATATGAACACTAGCATCCCCTCGCTGCTTTAGGCTGAGCTTTCTGAAGGATGCGAGTGTCAGAGGAACTCGGCTCTCCCATGTTCCAGGGACGTGAGAGGTGAAGTCCACGTGGCTCCTCTGGAAATTTCCCCGCATCCTTGGGCAGAAGGGGGATTTCAAGTGGTGATTTCCGCCTTTCTCCTTCTGGAAACTACATTAATTTTCCTCATGTAATTGTGCTTCTCCTGTCCTGGCTTCAGGCTTTCCAACACTTCGTTCATCTTCCTCTTTGGCTGCATGGTAAATGCCAAGCAAGGTCCCCTCACTGGGAAGGATGGAAAAGTTGGTCTTTTTGCCCAATAAAGCCAAAGCAGCTTTCAGACTTGCTCCCAAACCTCCTGCCCATAGCCTGACAACAGAAGTTAAATGTTGTTAACACCACAGGTACAGCTACCCTATGGAGGCTAGTAGCTGTTGCTGGTTTTCCCACTGGAAAATGCCACCAGTGGACAAAAATCTCACATTTCAGGCATTTGGCTCTTGTAGGGTACCAAGCATGCAAAGTCAATTAAGACCAACCTCAGCAAACTAAATTGCGGTTTCCGTGATTAATATTTGAAGCCACAGATAGGAAGGCAAAAACAACAGTCCAGACCTAAGCTGTAAGCATCTGAACTTGAGAAACGCCCACCATTCAGCCTTCAAGAGCACTTTTGAAGCTGCCTGTAGAGAAAATAATTAAAGAGATGAAAGATGCAGTGACTGATAGTAATAAATCATACGTGGCTGTCTTTCCCCTCTAAGGGAACATAAATCACTTTTGCCTTTAAAATATGGCAACAAGCATTCTTCCCAGATTGCTTTGAATTTATTAGACAAGGTCATTAGAAAGGTATTAGGGCAACATCTGAATTTATTAACTGAGTTACTTAATAGTCTAATTGTTCGGGTAGTGATGGGCATATGCTAAGGCTGAGAAGGAAGACAGCCAGGCATGCAGGTTACTAGGCAAGAGGTACCATGGGCCCCAGAGGCAGACACTGGGCTCACCCATAGTGCAGTGTGCATGGGAGCAGGAATGCAGCTCTCAGCTGGGTCCTGAGCTCTGCGGTGGGGTGTCTGAGATGGTTTCTAATTAGCCTCAGGCAGGTGTGTTTGTCTCCCTGGTAATTCACTTAAAGTTGGCCTGGGTAGCTTTTGAGAAGGAACCTGCTGCAGGGGCTACAGCTGGGTGAGTCCAGAGCTTGTTTTAGGCTTTTCTGTTTGTGTTAATTTGGGAGGGCAGCTGGGAAGCTGAGGGTCAGGCAAGTTCAGCTCTGCTCCAGTCCCTGCTGGGACCAGCCAGCAGCACACATATCCCTACACTGCAGGGAACTGTCTCCTATGGACTGACAGGTTTGAAGTCAGCTGAAGTTCTGTGTGTGCATGCAGGGGGTTCTTCTAACCTTGAGCTTTGAGACATGGAGGTTGAAACTCTGCTGCAAGGAGCTCTCCTCATTGTGCTAGCAGGTTCATGTCCCCACTTGCAGGACATGGTGCACTACGCAGCATTCCCTTCCCTGCAGGGATCATCTGCCAGGAGAGGCATTTCTGGAAGCAGCTAAACCCAACAGACTCATTTGCACGTGTGCTTCTTCCTCTGGGACAGTATGAGGGAGGAAGCACACAGCAGGTCTGATTCAGAGGCACCAACAACATGTCTGAGGTTTTGGTTCCACAGAGCACCAAAGGGTGGTCACCACAGCTGCCATGAGAGCTGGGGTGTGCTCCTGTGGTGCTGCTGGGATAAGGCATGCAGCACCCGTCTGGGGATGTTCAAACCCACACAGAGCCTGGGCTAGAAGACTGCAAATATCACACTGAGCAGGGCTCTCAGCTCAGTTCGAAGCTGCTTCCACACAAGCACTGCAGCCTCCAACTGATAAAAACTCATCACATGCATCTTCCACTCACTCTTTTACCTTAGCTAAACATAGCTTTGCACTTGTTCAGCAGGCAAAGCCTATGCTGAACCTTTCAGATGGACCAGCAGTTTCCTGTAGATCAGGGGATGCACAAGTGGAGACTTACGGTGAGGGCTGCTTCCTCATGGGATGCTTAGTTCCTTGAAACAACAGCTTTTGCTTAGTTTTTCTCCATTTCCAGGTAGAATTTGGAGTCTCTTCTTCCTCTTTCTCTCCATGCTTGTTCTGCCCGCACATGAGAAGGCAAGTACTCCAAATATATAACAGACTAGTAGATAATTCTTTTTGAAATTGATGGATATCTTGCTTTGTGACAGAGCTCATGATTGGATCCCCAGATTTTTCACTGTGGCATGTTTTCTCTTTCTCCCTAATACTGGGTAGCTCCAGAGTAAGGAAGAAGAGGAGAAAACATGAATTTAATGACTGCAATGACAAACCTCATTAGAGCACCTTTGTGAGGGGAAAATGTCTTGCAATCTTCACTGCATAACAGTGTCCCAACAGACATGATGTCATTGCATCTTAAAAGATGTTTGAGTTGGAAAATCTTTTCAGCAGCATTTTAAGAGGTTATCTAAATGATTAATAAGATTAGTGAATGTGATTTATTATCTCAAAATAAAAATGTACAGAGAGTATAAAATGTATTTGAAAGGGATTACTGTGTTTATTAATGCTACAGGTGTTATATTGCCACATGTTATCAAAATAAATATGCTTAACTGTAAGAGAAAAATGTAGCATCTGGTCAAATGTTACACGTCTGTATGTGTAACATACATACATGCTCTGACAATTTGTGCTGAAAGAAGAAGTAGCTGGGCAGAGTATAGTTTGGACCTCATATCAGAAAATAACACAAACATTAGATTTCACCTGTTTTCCCTGCTCACTCGAGATATGCTACAGTATATGTGATGTATATTCTGATTAGGTGCTCCATTACAGCTATTTAATGGTGTTTATTACTGCACATCTGAGAATATTTACCTAATGGATGGTATCTAAATTTCCTCCAAATGGGGCTTGTTGGAGATAAACTGTTATTCTCTGCTCCATAGGCACAGTGTCTACCTGAAGGCAGACCTGGAGTTCTGGCAAAATCCTTCTTAGCCAAAGTCCTATTTTTTTTTTTGTTTTAAAAGTTCAAAGAAAGACTGAGACTGCCTTTATTTCCAGTGGAAGTTTTCATTATGGTGAAGTTTTCAGTGGCAAAATGGATTTGCTCAAACAGACCTTATTCTGTAGATCTCTGAATCACAGGGAATTAGTTTATATTGTTAGAAATTAGGAGGCCTGGGACATTGACTCCTTACTCTCTCTTTTTATTAACTCTCTGAAGGTTACAAATGCCCATGCAGATATTCCTGTGCTCCATTCAAACAGTGTGTGGTTCCTGGCACTGGCCTGAGGGGCTCTGTAGTGCCATGGTCCTTGACTGTTGATGGCTAAGGAGTGCCCAAGCTGGGCTGTTGCATCCTAAACTGCAGGCTGACTTCAGAAATCTTAGACTTGACTTCCCCAAGACTCCCCTTCCTCCTCTGTGAAACAGGGATAAGTATTTCCCTGATCTGAAGGCACTGAGATTAAGGGTCTAGGGGAGGAGTCCTATTTCCTCCCTAGGACTTACTCTGTTTGTGCTCTTTCAGAGAACATCAGGATGCCTCCTGCTTTTCTTGCTTCTCCATCTTGGGCACCCTGGGAAGGACTGCTCCCAGCCCTGCTCTCATCTCAAGAGCACATCACTGCTAAGCATCTCCATGGCGTCTGTCACTGCACAGTAACTCTTAAAACTGAAAGCTGCCATAGAAGCAGAGCCTCTAAAGGAGACTGGATTTCTTTACCTGAAAGCATTAATTTTCAACTTGCATCCTTTGGGCACAAGTACTGAGCAGACAGTCGCCTGTGTTGGAGAGGGCTCTGGTCCCCTCCTGCTGCCCTGTAGGTGCTCTACCCCACACCAAAGGCCCTGCTCATGTTGCCGACATTGCAATTTTGGCATCTCCTGGCATTTATAACTTTTATAAAAATAAGCTGAACGGAAATTGCATTCTGCCTCCTCTGGGGTTTCCATGGAGCAGATCTAATTATCTTTCTTTAATAGCACTAATTGGTGAACTTATAGCCCTGGCTGTTCAGCCCACACCTCCACACTCCCTTTATCCCTTGCACTGCCCTGGCCTCTTGGGCTGGATGGGATTTAAGCATGGTCTGATGGTTTGTGAAACCACTTTGACTTCTTGCCCTCAATTCGCTCGTGCTACCTGAGCTCCCCGACCTGTTGACAGAGGAGCTTTCCTTTGTCTTTGCAAATTGACACAGCTGCACACTTCGCAAATAGACTCAGATGTTGAGCTTTAGGCTGAATGGATCCTCCAGATTAGTGCAGGGGAGAATTAGCTTTAAAAACGCTAAGCTGGAGCCAGCAGCAGGAGAATGGAGTGAAGCTCTGTATCAGGATTCACTGCCACAGAAAGGGGCTCCCTTGCTCTGGTAGTGATATTTACTCCCCTTTGGGGAGGACATTCCTGGAGCTGATAGCTCATCATGACCCTGTACTGCGGACTGGAGTTAATTAGCCCACTGTATAATGGGGAGATTTGCCTGGAGATTACATGGGGTGATCTCTCACCACACACGCTGTTTGCTGAGTGGTTTGGGGCTCTTGGCAAGCACAAAAGCACAAATGCAAGGAGCAGAAAATCTGGCATGGGGGGATTGCTGCCACAGTACTCAGCAGAGCTGCAGGCAGCGGCTGAGATTGAGCCCTGCCAGGGTCCTGCTCTCCCGGCATCCCACTATCCTATCCCCATCCTATATCCACATACGTGGATATGGGGCATGTAAGTCCCTGCAACGCACTTTTACAAATGGCTTGGAAAGTTGTTCACAGAGATGAATTTCCCAAAGCTTGAGCAACCGGCTAGAAATGAAAGGTGATGGTCAGCTTTGCATTGCAGTAAAGCCAGGCTGTGGGCAGGGAGAAACTGTCTGTCTCGGGCCAGGCAGAAGTCATCTGCCTGCCGTTGCCTTGTCTGGAGGCAAGGGGACAAGATTGGCATTGGAGGCAAATAACACTGAACAACTTGTTAATGATTTTACAGCAGGTTAAAGTGAGTGCCTCAAATAAAACTATGGGAGACCTTCTATAATTCTACAGGCTGTAAATATGTATTAACTACTATCAGCAATTACAGCTCAGTTTGGGAACAGTTAAAGTGGATGCACACAAAAAGGATTATCTTTAGAAAATGAGTGTGCAGATGAAAGATATTTAATTTCACATTAGCTAATGAGCAGAGATAGAGGTGCAGAAATGGCATCCCCCTCTGTTTTACAGTGCTTATAAATGAGACAGGGAGCAGGTTGGGTGTCCCAGGCCAAGCAAAGGCCACATGTGTGCCCAGCAAGCTGAATGGGTGGCACTTACAGGAGGGTGGAAAGGAAGATCCTGGACAAAGTGAACTGCCTGCCCCTCCAAAGAGATATGTGTCCACTTGAGTTACACCCTCATCCTCAGTTACTTCATCCTCAGCCAGCTCTTGCAGGGGGCTCAGGACCAGCTCTCATTACCCACCCATTCTGCTCCTGGCTGTTATTTTCCTCATTTTGCCCAGGGCCTATGTGCTTGTATTGCCTGCAGCTGCAGGAGCTGGTTGGACTTGTTCATGATGGAAGGTTTGCATTTTGCCCAGAAGTGCCTAAGCTGAACCCAGGAAAAGCAAGAAAAGCATCTCCCCTTGCACTGAGCATCTGTCTCTCCTTTTCCTGGCTTGTTACTGTGGTTTCTAACTCTATCCTTTAAAGATAGACAAAAGATTGCCTGACTTCCTGTTAAATGTGCCCTGATTCCCTTTTCTGGTTTTGAGTCTTGTTAAAGCATTTTCTATTGAATTCAGTATTTCTTCTGTTTCTTCTTCCTACCGTGACTTTTAGATGTATAACCAAATGCTTATTTTTCAGGCTGTGCAAAATCCGTTGGGCTGTGCCAGTCTCACTCCAGAATGCTCATTTCTGCCTTCACATACTTTTTGTGACTCTCTCGCTACTCACCAGTGTTTCAGCACATTGCAGTGTGAGCACCAGAAGGTGATAAATACTTTGTTGTGACAGCTCTGTCCTATCTGTCCAAGGATCTTCTTGGTGTTTAGCCACAGCAGCAGCAGTTTGATGGAGCCAAATCCTTCCAAGGGCAAGAAAGGCCTCAGTCCTCACCCTGAGCCCTCCATCACCTGCTGGTCCCCTCTTCCTGCCTCAGCTCCCCATCTGTCATTAGCATGTCTTAAATATTCATTCCTCACTCTCTCTGGCATGCTTGAAAGCTGAATTTTCAATTAAATATTAACTAGTGTTTAAAGGCCAATCATTAGTGGAAAAAAAAAAAGCATTGGAATATTTTGCCCTCTGCATCTGTTTCTGGTGAGGTGATTCACTAAATCAAGCAGCAGTTGCCAGTGGTGGTCAGTGATGCACAGAGCATCTCCCAAGCACATCCCCTGGTGTCTGCCTGTGGCACATGTGAACTCCTGCTCCACAACCCCTGCCTGGGTTTCAAACCCCCTCGGGGCAGGGTTGCTAGGGTCTCTGGGGCACCCTGGGCTGAGCCTGAAACTGCTCTTGCTCTTTTGAAGATGCAAAGTGCCCTTACAATACCCAGCCTTTCAGACTGGGGAACACAGCTGAAAACCTGGTGAGCTAAAGCTGCTTTGTGATTGCCAGTGCTTTTGTCATGCACCGGGCTGCCAATACAATTGCAGTATCCCTTGTCAAGTGCCTAGCCCAACCTGCCCATCTGGGCCCAGAAGGCTGAAATGCTGCCTGGGAAGGCACAGGAAAGTGGAGGACAAGGCTAACAGACTATTCTGTAGCCCTGGAAAATTCAAAACTTAAAAGCAGGAAGGTTTCAAGAATGGGGAAAGGACAAGGGATGTCTGGACGCTCCTGGGTTATCCTGACTTTCTAAACTTGGGCATAGGTAGCCTTTTCAGGCTGGCTGCCTAAGTGTAGGTGCTGCTGCCCCAGGCTCTGCCTCTTCCAATGTCCCCAGCCCCAACCCACTGTGCTGTGAGCACCAGGACCCACCTGAGCACGCAGAGATTTTCACCCTGATAGAGTGACCTTACCAGCGCCTGTAAGGCGTAGACAGGAACTGGAAAGCTCAGGCTCTCCAGTGCAAGCAGAGATGTTGTTTTAGTGTCCTACAAAACACATTTATCACTACAGAGTATGACTTTCTCAACTACCTGGTTTTGCTTCCTGAGGTACATCTTCTACTCCAGCTCAGTTAACTTCTGTTCAGCACTGCTTTACTGGTAGTTACCTCTGCAAATGGTACCTCTTCCAAAGAGCCCTGCCACCATATCTGGTAAAAACCTGTCAGAGGAGAAGCCCGGGTCTGGACTCTGGAATGACATTTGGTGCAGTAGCAACGTTTGAAAGCAATGGTATTTCCTTCTGAGGAAAAAACAAAAAAGGACCCTTCAACTTGTTTTCTCTCCCCCACTCCCTCCTCCTGGAGGAGATATTCGCCAAGGGCCACAGATGGGATCGTTTACAGTTTCCTTTTGAGCTGCCTTGGCCCTTTCAGGTTGTTTATTCAAGCTGGGCTCTCAAACAGCGGAGGGTGGGACAAGGAAGGCCTCCTTCCATATTCCAATTTGGATTGGGGTTGCTGCAGTTCCCCATCTGACAGAAGATGATTGATGAGAATGATGCTGGCTGTAAACCTAGGAGGGTTTGGAGACCAGGCAGCTCTGCTCTTTACAAGGCCTTAAATCCTGGTTGTTGGAGCAATGCAGGGAATACCATCCTGGGGTAATTACAAGCTGACAACAGCAAAAGCCACTGGAAAAGGCAGGCACTCCAGAGTTGTGGTGGGACAGCTGAAGAGGTGGCTGGGGATTTTTTGGTGTGCTTTGTTTGTGGAAACATGCATACTTGGTCCCGAGCTGAGGTCAAAATATGCTTACAGAAAGCAGGGTCTAGAGATGAGGAGGAGATCTGCAGCAGAAAGCCTGGAAAGGTGCTGGAAGGGCTGAGGATCACCTCAGAGGGGAGGTTACAAAATCTTTGGATACTTCCCTGGTGGCAGTGGGCTAAATACACACTTGTTAAGAGCATTGGAACCAGCTGGCAACAGTGCTGGTCCACCCTAATGGCTACAGTTTTCCACAGCCTCCTCTCCTGAGAGCAGCTCTCATTGCGCAAGTACCAGCCTCAGTTTCTCCAAAGCAAGGCTTGGATGGAAAGGCCTTCAGGAGAGGACAAGATCCCAGTTTGACTCATGGGCGAGGCAGCAAGGATGGGAGGCACAGGGGATTGCCATCGCATGTGGGTCGGAACGGTGGCCTGCTCCAGGGATCTTCAGGGCATGGTTATAGGGAAGCTAAACTTTAATCTGGTTTCTCCTTCCCAGAGGATGGCTGGCATGGACTGGCACTACTTTTCATTGCTTCGGCTGAACAAGCCTGTCCTGGTGTTAGACTTGCTGAACTACAGGGTGTGTGGCCTGGGTTAGGTCACCAAGAGCTTTATTCAAAGCTGTAAGCACCCTGAAGCCTCTAGACTGGAAATTTAACCAAACCAGGAGAGCTGGGCTAGAAGAAAGCAGCTGGGGGCAAAGCAAGGCCCTAAAATAGATGTACTTAGAGTAGCTCCTCCAGTTAGGCTGGATGACCCTGTGGGGCTGGGATGAGAAGCAGGGGATTTCCCCTCCCTGTGCCTGTGCTGCTGGTTTAAATCCAACCACAACTGAGCAGTAAATAGGAGTTACCATCCGGCAGCTGTGGGGTGACCCGTGTGCAGTGAGTCAGTGAGCTCTGGCCACACAGCCCTGCAGACATCTGCCGCAGAGGAAGACTGGACTGGAAAGCATATTTTCTTTGGGAATGTGCTCTCATTTGGGTGAGCCCTGCAGTGCTCCCTGCACACGAGCACTGCAGTGGCATCCTGGGATGCAGCACTCCAGCACCCCAATGCTGGAGCTGCATTCCAGGATACAGTGATGCTGCACACTAGTGCTGAAGACACAGCTCAAAATGCATCCCTCCTTGCACACCAGCACTGCAGCAACAGCCCAGGATGCAGCTCTGCTACCCAGCACAACAGCAAGTGTCTGCATGTTGTGGCTCAACAGTCAGGATATGCAGGCCCATCAGCAGAGCAGCATCAGCATGACCATATAACTAGAGTAGCTGTGATTAAAGGGGAACCCTTGCCTTCTAACGCTGCTGAGCAATCTGTAACCAGCTGAATAGAGTCATGGTGCTGCAGTTGGTCAGGCTGAGCCTGTAGCAGCTTGGGCACATGTGTATCTGCCTTAGTGACATGGGTTTACTCACAAGGGAACAAGGTAAATGTTTGAATACAGGGAGGATGCTAAATATCTGACAGCTCTCCAGTGTCTCACAGAGCTGACAAACAGAGAGGGTTTTGAGCAGACATTTGAAGGGCAGAGCAGGTTTTTTACAAGGAACTTCCTCTCCTGGGCAGATGGGACAAAGGGGATAAAGCCAAGCAAAACCACACGGCTGCTTATTTATCACTTATATTCAGGCGAGCTGAGGCATACACGCCTCCCACTGTGCAGGGGCTGCACAAACACATGAGGAGACTTGGGTCCTGCCTCAGAGTTTCCAGTCTAACAAAAAAACCCCAAACTTGGAGGAGCAGCAGCTCTGAAATCTCTCTGTAGATCTCCACCTGGTAAAAGAAGTGCAGACAGGGGCATGTTCTCTCCACATCAGCTGCACAGCGAGAGCGGCTTAGATGAACTCTCCTGGCTGGTAATAAAATGATTTTACATATGTAGGAAGCAGGATGTGCAAAGCCCAGGAGTCTGATCTTGTTTCTGAGATCAAACAGAGTCTTATTGTACAGGGGTGTGGAGCTGATGTAACTGTCTAGTGTGCCGGACACAATCGCCGTGGTTACGCAGCTGGACCGGAATAAAGCAAGTCTGTATCTGAACTCATTAATTTTTACAACCAACTGAACCGCTCTGCCTTTTTCTTTCGCCTTTTCGGTGGCAGAGGACCGTCACACAGCATCGCAGGGGCTCCCCCAGCCATCAGCCCCTCGCCTGCGGTGCCTCAGGACAGGGCTGGCATGGTGGGGAGCAGCTGGACCCATGCAGACCCCCTGGCCCAGCCGCCCACTGCGTCCCTGGGGATGCTCAGCCAGCTGCATGGGTCTGTTGCTGAGACAGGCCAGGGGCTGGGGGGATTAGGGATGAAAACCCAGGCTTAACGTGAGCAGAGCTGCTGCTCTGTCAGCTACAGGTTATGTCAATGTTTCCATTAGAAACCCCCGTGTGCAAGGTTTATAGCTTGGCTGTGAAAGTGCCCTCAAGGCCAGGCTCTGGCAAGCCAGGGAAACCCACGGGTTTCTGCTGAAATATTCAGCGCGGCTGCTCCCATGCTTGCACATTGCTTTTCACCACATGCAAATCAAGGGGGCTTACTCGGCAAGCAGGGCTCGGCATGCTGAGCTGGAAGCACCAGAAACCCTGTGTGAATGGTCCCTGCCTGCCTGCAGCCGCAGTGCTGTGTCCCCAGGACAGGGCGGGCAGGGTTGCCTGGCCAGCTCTTGCACCGTGGGATCCCACGCTCCCAAGCAATGCTGCAATGCAAACAGTGAGGTGAATTTACTAAGCGGCAAACCAGGGGTGCAGCACCAGAGCCCAGGGCCAAAGCCACTGGTGAGCTGTGGCAGGAGGAGGGTGTGGGACTGGGACTCCTGGTCACTTCTGGCCGTTGGACCAGGAATCACCTCGTGCTTCTCTGCAGTAACGATCCCTGTGTTCCATGGTGGCCCTCCCCGGGAGCCCAGCCGAGCATCCTGGTCCAAGCTGATACACAGCCATGGCCCAGGGATGGCGCCAGCCCAGCACTTGGCAGGAGGATTTTATGCAGCAGCCAGAGCCCTGTAAGAGGCTCCCTTTGCCGGCAGCATGCTGAGCCTGGATCTGACCCTGCCCTGGCTGCTTGCTTCCCGTCGGGATGCTGCTTGGCCATGGGACAAACGCGCATCCAGGCCTCCTCCCTTCAATCCAGCCCTTCCCACTCCTGGGAAGCTGCTCTTGACACATACACATTTGCCTATTTTAAACTGCTGCCAAGAGCACTTGCAGGATGAGATTTCTCTGTGAGCATGATGTCCCAGGGCAGGCAAGACCGCTTTCTTCCCTTGCTCTTCCTCCTGGAAGGCTGGAAAAGTGGAGAGAGACAGATGTCAGCAAGTCTTCTGGGCATGGTGCTGGGCTCCCCAGTGGCACAGCCATCACCGCTGGCACGAGTGGTGGTCCACTTGCCCAAAGTGACCCTGGCTCTTGCAAATAAGGGATTGGTCTGTAAGCAGTCCCAGAAAGCCAGGGAACCCCAAGGGGGTGTCATGGCCCCAACCTGCGTGTTGGAAGGATGCCGGAGGGATGCTGCTTCCGTGGCAGGTGCCCAGGGAGATTATGAGGGGATTATGGGGCAAATCTGGTAAAACTAGCATCATCCACCAGTGTCCAGTAAGGGACTTGGCAGCCCCCCACCAGCAGTGGGAGGGTGAGAGTCCAGAGGGGTAAAAGCTGCAGCACCAGCCTTGGGGCATAAAATGAAGTATAAAATACTAAGGAGTAAGTTTCAGCTTTTTACCCCCATGAAATCAGAGCATCACTGTTTAGATTTATAGGCCATACTGAAGCATGTAATGCATTTTAGCATACAGTTTCAGGCTATGACACATCCCCAGACAAGCAGGAGCAGTGCAGCTTGGGCAGGTACCAAGGGGGAGAGGGCACAGAGCAGCTTCAGGTCCCAGTGTGCTCATGGTAACTCTGAGCACTCACTGGACTGGGGTCTTCGCAGGCAGCCTTTCTGCTGCCCTGCCATGTCCATGCCTCTCCAAACTGCAGGCTCCACTCACCCAACAACGAATAGAGAGAGGAAAAAATGGGGGGAGAAGAAAAAACCCAATTCCTTGCCATTTTGCTGCTGCCTTTCCAGTACGCTTGAGTTACCATGGTTAGTTTTCCACTGTTCTCCTTGACCCCTGCAGCTTTCCCTTATGAGTTAGTGTCCTGGAATGTCTCTTTACGAGGTGCCTAGAGAAGTAAAGCTGACCTGATGCCAGTGCCCCCACACTGAGGACTTTATTAGGTTTTTTATTTTCTGTCTGGGTGCTCTCACTTGCCTCAAACTTTCCACAGCTGCTAGGATTTATTAACGAGGGAGGTTCGTTTGTGTCCTGCCTCCCCTTCCCCTGCTTGGTGAATTGGTGGTATTGCTCTGCCAGTTACTATTTTTAATGCCTTTTGGGGTGGTTTAGGGAGATCTAAAGATTTTGCTTGTGCAGATTTTGGAATATTTTGCTTGTGCAGAATCTGCAAAGATCTCCTGAAAACCAAAATAAGTCCTAAAAGAAATGTGGGGGGCCACAGAGGGGAGCAACTGTGATGGGACCATCCTGGTGGAAACACAGGACAAAGCAAGTGGAGTCCAACCACGAGATAGCACTGGAACCAGGAAAGCCAAAACCAGCTGCGTTGCTGCTGATGGGATACAAATCCCAAGAATTAAGAGGTTAGAATCATTTTAGTTCCCCTAAATGCTTAAATATCGGAGTGGGGAGAGCCTCCTTGTCTCCCAGACTGGAAGGGCCCCATGGCACTGAGCTGTAGGCTGAGGAGGAGGCTGAGAGGTGAAGATGTGCTGCATGGGCAGGAGTAAGGATGAGCAAGGCTGGAGGAGCAGAGAGGCCCTGCAATATAAACATGCGGAGGGCCAAAATGGTACAGGGAGGGGAAAGAAGGGACAGACTTTGAAGGCAAGAGGAAGAATGGCCAAATATTTATTTGTCCATAAAGTAAGTCTCCATAGCAATGAAATGGTTCACAATACATTTCCCAAACAAGCCCAGCCATGCGGCACGCAGGCAGAGCTGCAGGAGGGGACGTGAAGCCTGCCTGGGCACTGCACTGCTGGGGGTGGCCGGTCTGGCATGAGGGAATGCCCCTTGGGGGCCACCATGCAGATCCAATTGATGCCATGGGCGGTGGCAGTGGGGTTATTGCGGTGCCAGGGGGGAGGTAGAAGGAGTAGGTGGAGTTTCAAAGGTCTGTGTGTCAGGACATCTCAGGGTCAGGCAAGTGTGAGATGCACAAGCCCAACCAGGGTTAGGCATGCAAGCACATAGGATGTGCTGCCCCAAAATGCTAGGAAGACAAAGCGACTGTGTGGCAGGATGTAAAGCTGGCTGCTGCTGAGGAGCTGGGGATGCTGCCCAGGCTGGCAGCAGCCTCGGTGCAGCAGCACAGACCCCATCACACCTGGTACATGGCTCTGGGGTTACGGGGCACCTTGAATTCATTACTGAGCAAGCAGCATCTCCTGGGTGGGTGCCAGCAACAGCAACACATCCATACTTTACAGCTGGGGCAAGTCCTGCATGGACCACACAGGCAGTGGATTGCTTGCCCCAGGAAGCATAGGGAGTTCCCCAGGCCATCGTACCCCACAGGGCAGGAGACAGTCAGAAGGGGCCTGATCCTGAGCCCTGAGCTCCATAGGGAGCCCTTCCCCAGCCACCTTTGCCTGCTGCTCCACCGTGTGAACTCGGCTACTGCCTGACCCCAACATATCTCAGCAGCAGCGTCGAGCACCACTCCCAGAGCTCGTGCTTAGACAAATGTCACTGCTAATAACTTGGCTCCCATACACAGGGACATAAATTCCATTATTTTGATGTCAGCTGCACAATTTGTTCCTGTAACAAGGTGTTTTAACCTCACTTCATATTCATTGTTCTGCCCGCTTTGATTTTACTGTAAATGACTGAATTCGCTTTTGATGTGGTGCCAGTGCCCCATAAATCTTGACACTCTCTGTAAGAAAGGAAAGAGCCCTCCCCCCTGTTTGGTTTGCAGAGAGTGGTGGCAGGGAGGGGGACGACAGCTGCCGGGGCACCGGTATGGTCCATGCAGGGATCCTGCGGAACTCGAAGCAAGGTTCAGCTGTGAGCATTCACCTGGTTTTTCCCATCAGGGAAAAGGAACGTAAGAGGGGAGAAGGTGGTGGGGACGAGGAGTTGCATCTCTCTTAAAACCATGAGCTGTGAACCAGCCTCATTCAGAGATTCACGGCTCCTTTGAGAACCCAGCCGGCACTTACAGCTTGTAAGAAAACCCCAGACCAAGCGTGATTTGTGTGGTTTGAGGTTTCATCCCAAGCTGCTTTTAAGTGTTTCAGTTCCCAGCACCTCTTCCAGAGTGTGCTGGAGGTGAAAAAGCACAATAAAACCACCCCCCACAAAACCCACACTTAACTGAACATTTCCAAGCCCAGCAGCACTTGGGGGACGAAACCTTCCATTATTGCCATTGCCCAAATTCCTTCTAACCCCAGCAGCAGTTGGATCAGACTCCTGCTTTCCAGCCAGTAATGCTGCCTTGGTTTGCTCCTCATCTGCCTGAGTGTTTCTGCCCAGGCTGCCTGGTAATGTAGCCAGATGAGTTCTGGGGGTACTACTTGCAAGACAAGCTGTTCCCTAGAGCCGCCTGCCTTGGAAGTGTGATCCCCTGACCTGAGCCTGGCAGGGATTGAGGTGCTGGCCTCAGTGCTCACACCAGGGTGAGGGTAGGACTCGTGACCAGAAGGAAGCTGTGTCCCTGCTACCAAAAAACAATAGTTGGAAAGGGGTCGTAGCCTTGGCCAGCCTCCTGGGATGGGGCTGGGGATGGGGATGGCTGCCTGGTGGTGAGGGCAGAAACTATGCTGCCTCTGCAAGGGACAGACCTGGTCCTGCACAGCTTCATCCCAGCCAGATGCCTTACCCTGGTGCTGCCACACACACACACGGGGTCCTTCAAAGGGAAAGGATCCTTCCCCAGGTTATGGCAGAGAAGTGTGGGAGCACAGGGAGTTGGGGTGGTGCCTGGTGTCGGGTGCACAGTGCCTGCTGTGCATGGCACATGGTGTATGTTGTAGTGCAGTGCCCATTGCAGT